TAAGTGCCAAAACATCCGTGACCTGTAATTATTTGTGTCATTCTAAATGTTAGCCTGCGATTCTTTCTATTTATCCATCTCTCAAAATGCGGAAGAATCGCGTTGATCGTCTTCTGTTCAGTTGCTAGTTTCGTAAGTTTCGTAAACCAGGTTGCGTATATCTCTCTCTTTCTTTTATCATTTAACTCCTTTTTAGCGGTATTGTCTAATTTATTTTTCTTTTTCAGATTGGCGGCTAATTGATAGTATTTTTTATATACTGCAATCATGATGTCAAATGGGGGCGATAAGGCTAATAGAAGAACAGTTTGGAGAGCCACTGTTCGGTAAGTTCTCGCAATTCTCGATGCCATGTTCTTCTGTGCTTGAAGGATTGCACTTATAATATTTTTGTTTTCTAAAATTGCTTCCGCCCATACCGGAGCTCCATAGAGCATGATGGAGTTCATGGAATTTATATAAAGTCTACGAACCTCCTCTCGAGGACCTCCCACGTTCGGAAGAATCTGTCGTAGACCATTAAATAGTCCTATTACTTTTGGAAGAATATATTCTATATGGTCAGAGAAGGTCAGTTGTTCATCTAGGATCACACCGAGATATTTAGTGACCTTCTGCATTTGGATTGTTACATTGTCAATTAACAGATTACATTTATCTATTGGTATTTTCATTTGTTTGTTATGATAGCATGTAATTATTGTTTTCGTGGTTGCTATTTTTAATCCCATGTTTTTAATCTTTTTAGTTATAATTCCGGCAGCAATTGTAGCACGGGTATGTACCTGACGAAAATTATTACCGAAGACAACAATAATTGTATCATCGGCATAACCAGTCAGCTCGGATTGAGGGGGAAGCAATGTTCTTAAGGCGTCGTCGTAGCCGATATTCCACAGGTGAGCAGCTAATGCTGACCCCTGTGGAACACCGGCACGTACAGGCCTTTCGGAGTACCTCCCATTACTATCTATGAACGCGACAGCTCGACCAATAAGATACGATTTAATTATTTTAATTAGGTACGGTGGAATGTTTTTATCTATCATACCGTTCACTATGGTTTTCCACGGCAATGAATTAAAAGCATTACTTATATCCAAACTAATTGTTATGGCAACCCCTCCTTTAGCAATAGTTTCATTAATTCTATTAGTTACTCTACTGATAGCATCAATTGTACTGCGATTTTTTCTGAAACCGAATTGCCATTTAGCTAAGTCATTCTTCGTATTACTAATATATTTCTCGATTCTCGTCGCGATTATTCGTTCAAAGACTTTACTAGTTTCATCTATAAGGCATATAGGCCTATATGCTGAAGGGTCATCAGGGGCCTTTCCTGGTTTTTTTAATAAAATCATTTTTGCTCTTTTCCAGATTGCAGGAAATTCGCCACTCATCAGGCATGCGTTTAATAGGGATAAAAAGTCTTCTTGAAGCAATTCAGCCGCTACACTGACAACTGGGCTGGGGATTCCGCAAGGGCCTGGAGCGGTTTTCTTGACTGTCATCTTCTCAATTGCACAGTTTAGTTCTTCGGAAGAAATAGCATATTCAGCTCGCCAGTCCGTGTTTATATCAAATTCATCTAGACCCGGAGCAGTCGGAAAAAGTGCATCTATGATGCTGTTTAACATCTCCTCGTCCATATTTTCAAGCGAAGCTGGTCCTCCTTTCTTTGACTTTCCAGAAGCCCATTTATAGGGTTTTCCCCAAGGATCATTGTCCAGGGTTGATAGGATTTCTTTCCATTTTGCTGTTTTAGCGTCCAAAATTGCGATTTTTAGTTGCTTTTTCGAATGTCTGTACTTAGTTTCTGCTTCTGTTAATAGGACAGTATTCGGCGATTTTTTCGCTTTCTCTTTTTGCCATTTCCTTCTATCTTTTAGACATTGTTTTCTTTTCTTTTCTAGGGATTCAGACCACCAGTCATTCTGTTTCTTAAATAATATTCTTTTATTTCTAGGCATAGACACATTGCACGCGCGCACTAGAATTGATTCGAAGTCGGAAATTCTTTTTTCTAGGTTGGATTCTTGCGTTTGTCTGCACATCGTATTCCAAGCATCCGCTATGATTGACGCTTGGCAGAGAGGTAAGTCAAGTTTTTTAACGCTCCATCTTGGGAACATTTTATATTCCATTTTTAATCTTTTAGCTGTATTATTACCTCTATTTTTTATTTTGAACGTTATGTACCGATGGTCCGATAATGTTTCCTGATCTTCAACCGTCCATTGATGAATATTTTTTATGGCAGCTTCATTGGCCCAAGTCAGGTCTACTATCGAGTTACCTTGAGGGCGCACACAGGTAAATGATGTTCCCTTGTTGCAAAGAAAAAAGTTGTTGCTTGTCATCCATGTTTTGAGTTCATTACCGCGCTGATTTGTTGTTTTAGACCCCCACCAGATATGGTGAGAGTTAAGATCTCCGCATATAATAATTGGTAAGTTATTCGCGAGTCTTTTCAGTTTCTTTTTAATATCCATGAGCCGGTTTTCGAAGGTTATGAAGTCCTCATTTGGAGGAAAATAGCATCCAACTAAGAGGCCGAATGTGGCTTTGATAATTACAAAGCCGTTTCCGTGCGCGACCATATTCACGTTTCCGAGGTGTGATAAGGAAGATGTCATAAGTGCGACTCTTTTCTCTGTATCGTAGACCCAGTTACAGTTTTTAGTATCGTACGGTTCCGAGACGATTGCAATGTCAATCTTTTTTTCGTTAATATATTTTAGCATCAACAGCTGAGCGGCAAGTGAATGATTTATGTTACATTGTAGTAAGTTAATTGTCATAATGCAACTACTTGACGAATTGATT